AGCAGTGTGATGGGGGCGGCGCCTTCCCCTGATCAGCCTGGTCGCCTCCCACAGAGTTAGGCCAAAATGCGGCTTAGGCCATAGTGAGTGGGCCTAAACTGTCTGTAGGACATGCCCTTAGGGCTCCTGGACTGGGAGAGGAGGCAGGGCAGGATGAGGGACTCCCCAGTGCATGAATTTTTGTGCACCGAGCCTCTAGTTCATAATAAGATAACTTGAAAGTATTTAGACTCTATGCTTAATGAAGGCCCAGATTTTAAGTGTTATATTTATCACTAGTGGCCTGGTGCACGAATTCATGCACATTGAAAGGAAATTAATTAGAAGAAATATTTGAATATCACTATTTGCCCTTTCTCTATAACAGAAGTGTCAACCAAATTCATGATCGACAATGACAGATTGAAACACACACATGTGATTGGCGCCAGCAAGAGCTTTATATGTATCGCGTATGCACGAGTCAACTTAGCCTTTTATATATATACTAGAGGCCTGGTGCACAAAAATTTGTGCACTCGGGGGGGGAGGGAGGGGTCCCTCAGCCCGGCCTGTGCCCACTCACAGTCTGGGACTCCTCAGGAGATAATGACCTGCTGGCTTAAGCCTGCTCCCTGGTGGCAGAGGGCAGGCCTAATCCCTAGGTGCAGCCCCTGGTCAGGCTCAGAGCAGGCCCGACAGGGGAGTTGGGGCGCCGCCCCCTGTCATGCACAGAGCTGGGAGGATTGGGAGGTTGCGATGCCACCCTCAGTCACACTCAGGATAGGGCTGATTGGGGGGTTGGGGCACCGCCCTCTGTCGCACTTAAGGCAGGGTCGATGGGGAGGTTGCAGGACCACCCCCTGTCATGCACAGAGCAGGGCCCATCAGGGGGTTGGGGAGCTCTTCCCTGTCACTCACAGAGCAGGGCCCATCAGGGTGTTGAGGAGTTCCCCCGTCACTCACAGAGTAGGGCCGATAGGGGAGTTGGGGCACTGCCCCCTGTCACACACAGAGCAGGGCCCATCAGGGGGTTGGGGAGCTCGCCCCTGTCATGCACATAGCAGGGCCCATCAGGGGGTTGGGGCGCCGCCACTGTCACACTCAGGGCAGGGCCAATCATGGGTTTGGGGCGCTGCCACTCTCACACTCAGGGCAAGGCCGATGGGGAGGTTATGGCTCTACCCCGTCACACACAGAGCAGGGCCCGTGGGGTGGGGGGGTTGGGGCGCTGCACCCTGTCACACACAGAGCCGCAGGGCGATCAGGAGATTGGGGAGCTCCCCCTTATCAGGCACAGAGCAGGGCCGATCAGGGGGTTGGGGCGCCTTCCACTGTCAGGAACAGAGCAGGCCCGCCCCCTGTCACACACAGAGCCACAGGGCGATCAGGGGGTTTGGGCACTGCCCCCTGTCATGCTGATCCCAATGCTGGGAGGCATATTACCCTTTTACTATATAGAATAGAGGCCTGGTGCATGGGTGGGGGCTGGCTGGTTTGCCGTGAAGGGTGTCCCAGATCAGGGTAGGGGTCCCCACTGGGGTGCCTGGCCAGCCTGGATGAGGGGATGATGGCTGTTTGTACTGGTCACACGCCCTTCAGGGTGGGGGTCCCCACTGGGGTGCCTGGCCAGTCTGGGTGAGGGGCTGAGGGCTGTTTTCAGTCTGGGACTGAAGCGCCCAATTGTCCTTTTTTTCTTTTCTTTTTTTTATTCTGAGCCAGCTTTAGCTCTTTATCTCCAGCTCTTAGGCCTCCGCTCCTGAAAGCATGTATCTGGTTTGTTTAGGTTCTACAATCGAAACTCTGTATCAACTCCAGGTCTGATATCCCGGCTAGCTGAAAGCTGGTTTCTGGGGTTTTGTTTAGCTTCTATTTTTGTAACAATGTTTCAAACTGCCAGCTCAGAGGCCTGCAGCAGCAGGCGGGGAATGTTGGAGTCCTCCATCACTTGAAGGAAGCAAGCCTCATGTTAGTTTCAAGCTGCCTGGCTGCCAGCCACCATCTTGGCTGGCAATTAATTTGCATATCTCGCTGATTAGCCAATGGGAAGGGTAGCGGTCGTATGCCAATTACCATGTTTCTCTTTTATTAGATAGGACTAGAGGCCCGGTGCACAAAAATTTGTGCACTTGGGGGGCGGGGGGGGGGTCCCTCAGCCTGGCTTATGCCCTCTTGCAGTCTGGGACCCCTTGGGAGATAACGACCTGCTGGCTTAGGCCTGCTCCCGGGTGGCAGAGGGCAGGCCTAATCCCTAGGTCCAGCCCCTGGTCGGGCTCAGAGCAGGGCCGATTCGGGAGTTGGGGCGCTGCCCCCTGTCATGCACAGAGCAGGGCGATCGGGAGGTTGTGATGCCACCCTCAGGCACGCTCAGGGTAGGGCTGATTAGGGGGTTGAGGCACCATCCCCTGTTACACTCAAGACAGGGTCGATGGGTAGATTGCGGCTCCACACCCTGTCACGCACCGAGCAGGGCCAATCAGGGGGTTGGGGCGCTGCCTCCTGTCACGCACAGAGCAGGGCCCATCAGGGGGTTGGGGCGCCGCCCTCTATCACGCACAGAGCAGGGCTGATCATGGGGTTGGGGCGCCGCCACTCTCATACTCAGGGCAGGGCCGATGGGGAGGTTATGGCTCTACCCCGTCACACACAGAGCAGGGCCCTTGGGGTGGGGGGGTTTGGGCTCTGCACCCTGTCACACACAGATCTGCAGGGCAATCAGGGGGTTGGGGAGTTCCCCCGTATCAGGCACAGAGCAGGATGATCAGGGGGTTGGGCGCCTTCCCCTGTCATGAACAGAGCAGGGTGGATAGGAAGGTTGTGGCCCCGCCCCCTGTCACACACAGAGCCACAGGGCGATCAGGGGGTTTGGGCACTGCCCCCTGTCACGCTGATCCCGGTGCCGGGAGGCCTCTTGGCTCCGCTGATCCCGGTGCTGCGAGGCATATTACCCTTTTACTATATAGAATAGAGGCCTGGTGTACTGGTGGGGGCCGGCTGGTTTGCCCTGAAGGATGCCCTGGATCATGGTGGGGGTCCCCACTGGGGTGCCTGGCCAGTCTGGGTGAGGGGCTGAGGGCTGTTTTCAGGCTGAGGGTGACTGAAGCTCCCAACCGCTCCTTTTTTTGTTTTTTGTTTTTTGTTGTTTTTTTTTATTCTGGGCCAGCTTTTAGCTCTGAGGCTTGGCTCCAGCTCTTAGGCCTCCGCTGCTGAAAGTAGGTTTCTGGCCTTTGCTTACAATGTTGCGATCCTGCTGGCTGAAGCCCGGCAGCTTCTATATTTGTTACATAGTTGCTTAGAGTTGCAGCTTTGAGGCCTGCAGCGCCAGGCGGGGAGCGGTGGAGTCCTCCGTCACTGAATCAAGCAAGCCTCATGTTAGTTTCAAGCTGTCTGGCTGCCGGCCGCCTTCTTGGCTGGCAGTTAATTTGCATATCGCCCTGATTAGCCAGTGGGAAGGGTAGCGGTCTTACGCCAATTACCATGTTTCTCTTTTATTAGATAGGAAAACTTGCTTAATTAGACCTGATTTGTGATTTAGCTAAACTTTTCCCAGCCCAGTGAAGCACCCCAACTTCTCTTTCAGGTGATTTTCAGCAACACAGCAATAAATATCAACATGAAGCAGATTATTATTATAGATCATGCAGGGAAAACAAAGGGTAAAATATTTTACTGTAGCAGTGTTTAACTATATTCTGGGCAGTGAGAAAACCTGAAGTCATTTTCAAGTTCCACCATTTCTTACTTCTTTTCAGTCGGGCCAAATTTCTAAGTTTTCTAAACCTCCATTTTCTGGCTAATGAAAAGAAAATAGGATTCCACTGAGTCTCCTATCTACCTAATGCAGGACTTCTGTGAGGATCAAGTGAGATGAGGCTCGGGAAAACGCTTCCCAGACATTTGGTTACAGTGTAAAATGGTTTTACCTGGCTATGGAGCAAGTTGTGTTTCTGGGCTGAAGAAACTGCAAGGCTAGTCATTGCTAGGGAGGGGTAGCCAGGTGTTGCTACTTGACGTCATTACCCAGATGGAGAGAAGGACACTTAGCATATTAGCCTTTTTTATAGGTGGATTGAATTCATAGCCTTTAGCATGGAGCTTGATAATCAGTAGAGATTCAGCTAATATTTGTTCAGGAATTAATTTGATACTCACCTAATTTTGAAGATAAAGGTGAAGATAGGAAGCTGGGGATAGAAGACTGCTGAAGACAAGGAAAATGTTTGAGGCAAATTTGTGTTCCACAATTTGCCCTAGAACTGGTGGTAATTTGACATCATTAACAAGAATAAGAAATACCTGCTTCAGAAAAAGAAACCACTTTGGGTTAAAAGAAGAATACTGCCCTGGGCCAATGTGGTTCAGTTGGTTGCATGGTCCAGTGTACTGAAAGTTGGTTAGTGGTTTGATTCCCAGTCAGGGCACCTGTCTGGGTTGAGGGCTCTATCCCCGATAGGGGGCATGCAAGAGACAGCTGATAGATGTTGCATTTTCACATCAATATTTCTCTCTCTACCTCTACCTTCTTCTGTCTCTAAAATCAATAAAAAATACTTTTTTTAAAAGAAGAAGATTGACGTAATTATTTGGGCAATTAGGACCTTTGAAAATACCTGAATTACCTACAGGCAATATATAATTCTAATTAATGAAAATTAACAGTTCTGAAGTGTTTTCCCCCTTGTTTAGAAGAGTTTTGCTTTGAACTTAATTTTGTATATAGATACAGATGGGTAGAATTGCCCAACAAAGGTTATTTTGTTAACTATGAGGGAATAAAAATGAAAATAAATTGTGACCGTATGGAGCTAACCACATTCTCATTGCACATTCCCATTGCAGCCGAGCTAATATTTTCATATGGGCAAATTTTTGCTCATATGCCCTGTCTAAGCAGAAGGGCCTAAGCCATTAATTCAGGGAGTTGTTCCATAACTACTGTTTTCTATTCATATTAGCATAAAGTAATAATCATAAAGGAGAAATTTACTGAAAGCCTCTGCCTTTTTTTTTTTAATCTCCAGTGTTCAGACTGCATCATAGCGCTTCTGATACAAACGACAAAAACCGAGTTAAAAGCAGATTAAAGAAGTTTATTACCCGAAGACCTTCCCTGAAAACTCTGCAAGAAAAAGGACTTATTAAAGGTACAAAACATTTTATACTTTTTACAGTAACAATGATAAATGAATGTGCCTCTGTGACCATAGCTATTCAGCTCTAAAGGAATATTAGGATTTTTTATTCTTTTTAGGTTGCTTATTGGATGTTCTGCTCTATAGGAGAGAAAAGATAATTGTCCAGAAAAATAATCCTGAGAAATTAAAGGGTGCATCATAGAATTATTGCAAGAAATACTTAATTTTGCCCTCAGATCTGAGCTCTGCACCAGGAATAGAGAAGAGATATCTTAGTGGCCCATCAGAATGACTCCATGTCTCCTTGTGTCTGAACAATTCCAGTTTATACCCATCATCCCAGTATGCTTAGGAACGCATCCCTTTCCACTCTTAAGCATGTCCTGATTTGATGATAATGTATCTGATCATCCTAGTCATTGTCTGAAGTAAATTCTAGGAAGAAGTGTTAGGAAGGAAGTCCAAGACAAATGAGTATCATGAAAATTTGGGGATTTGAGAACTGGAAGCTGAGAGCGCAAACTAAACTTAAATTAGCAGGTATTCTGAAAACATATCTAAAGTAAATAATAAGATATCCTAGCACAATCTAACCACCAGAATAGAAAAAGATAAACTCTGGCATTACCCTAATTGGAATTCAGACCTTGGTTCTACCACTCATTTGTAATGACATTGGACTAGTTATGATCTCTCTGACCTCAATTATCTCATCTTTTAAATGGGAATACTTACACCCATCATTGACAGAAGTACTGAGAGAAATAAATGAGATAATTCATGTAAAACATTTAACAATTTCTGGAATATAAGTATTCAATTAATATTCACTGCTATTAAAGTTATTATTTATTACTTTTTTTTTTATTAGTTAGCATGCCAGATGGATGAAAGGATGAATGGATAGATTGAACCAAGGATGTAGAAATCTGTAACTGGAAATTGACTTATAGATCACAAAGCAAAAATATGTTATTTTCCTGACCAAGGAAACATATGTGCCAAGTCCATTATTCTCCCTGTTTTTCAGATTTTCTAACTGATGAATATATTTTAAAGTTAAATTTTTTTTTTTTAAATTGAAAATGGGCTACAATAAACTCAGAACAAAGTTGAAAGACTTATAGAAGTCAAAAGATGATTTAATATACAATTTTTCTCAGGAAGAGGGCAAAGCAGATTTTCATATTTTAGCAATACTTAATAAAATAATTATTTAAATAGTTCACAATTAGCTGTTTGACCTAACAATTTCAGTTTATTTTGAAACAAATGAACTTATCACAAAAATAATCTGTCATTTTGAACCAAACCTAGAAGGTGGAACTTTTGTGAAGCATGGACATAGGTATCACTAATAGAGTGGAGAATTCTTACAATGCAAGCATTTAGGGGTGGAAATATCACATATTTTGAATTGGCTCATCTCAAACTTTTACTCTGAAAATGTCCTTTTCAGTGCCACAGACAATATTTGATCCTCTACAAATTCAATTACATCCTGTATAATAAAACCCTAATATGCAAGTTGACCAAACAAAACAGTGTAAGATCTATGGAATGACTGGTCGTTATGACTCGCACTGACCACCAGGGGTCAGACGCTCAATGCAGAAGCTGCCCCCTGGTGGTCATTGAGCTCCCACAGGGGGAGCGCTGCTCAGCTAGAAGCCAGGATCAAGGCTTGTGAGTGCAGTGGCAGTGGTGGGAGCCTCTCCTGCCTCCACTGCAGGCGGGTGGCAAGGAGGAGGTGTCCTGGACTGTGAGGCCCCGGACTGCTAGAGGTTATCCGATTGCCAGCTTGGGCCTGATCCCGGGATTGGGCCCAAGCCAGCAGGCGGACATCCCCTGAGGGGTCCCAGACTGCGAAAGGGCACAGACCCGGCTGAGGGACCCTCCCCCCAGTGCATGAATTTCATGAACCAGGCCTCTAATATAATATTAGACCTACTATCTTTATTTCTACCTTAGAATTCATCTATAGATTATCATTTTCTCTTCTTTTTTAAATATATTTTTATTGATTTCAGAGATGAAGGGAGATGGAGAGAGAGAAAGAAATATCAATGATGAGAGAAAATCATTGATTGGCTGCCTCCTGCACAACCCCCACTAGGGATGGAGCTCCCTACCCCAGCATGTACCTTGACCCAGAATTGAACCATGACCTCCTGATTCATAGGTTGATACTCAACCACTTAGACATGCTGGCTGGGCCCCATAGATTATCATTTTTTTACATAGGATTCAGTTGCAGGTTACCTGCCATCTTGAAAAAAAATCAAATAAAACCAGATTATTAGCCCAAACAATCCCAATCTGACATAAAGTCTAAATTTTTCATGACTCTGGAAACATGAAAAGTCTTTTAATTCAGTGGCAGGGTCTGGCCCAATCAAAATGCTAAGGAATTAATAACTGTGGTGCTGTAGGATTGGTCTCGGAAAGCACCAGAGATGCTGGATGCCTAATGCAGCCTTCATGCTGATGCAATGGAACCCCTGAGCACACTCTGCTGTGTACGTTTCCTATATTCCAGCCCCATTAAGTTTTCACCATTGCTGACCAATGAGTCAGTATTCATTAGTAGGGCTGTGGAAAATCTTTGTGAAATTCTGATTTGATAAGCTGCCATTGTTGTCTCCAGTGGAATTTTCTTCCAAATACAGATCATTATGCAAATATAGTCACTTCTTGGGTTTGTTTCAGTTTTACTATGAATTTTTTAAAGGCTTTTACTGAGATTTTTTTTAACTGAGTAAAAAGTATTAAGCCAATTTTTAAAGCTATAGGCCCAGTATAATTTAATACTTTAAGTTTATATTTTTAGCATACCTAAGGAAAAGGTCTCAGATGTTTTGAAGGGCTATAAAAATTATATAAAATAAATGAATGATTAATGGTTAAATAGTTAATTTCTCCAAGTAAAATGACTTAACTTTTTCAAGGAAAATTATTTAGAAAAAGCAAAAATGGCGTTTTAAATGGTTCTGTAGTGCATTTGCCCAAAGATTATGGATCATATTCTTTAAACTGTCTAATTGTCCAGACCGGAATACAGCCCTTCTTTATCAAGGTTCAGGAAAGCTGTGTGAGGTAGTTGGGGTCTTACAGTGTGCTTCCTGCTTCCTGGGAGGGGCTTCGCAGGGTCACAGACACTTTCCACAGTGGTTAGTCTTTCATGCCATGTTACCAACAGGTTGAGAGGCCTGAGCTTTGAATTCAGCCGGTCTTTATGGAGCACCCCCTTAGAGTCAGGAAGGGCCGTGCTTTATTGACTTTATAACGCCCAGTATAACTGTGAAAAAAGAATTGTCCCAATATCATATGGTCCAAACTTAGTCAAAAACCCTTTCTTCAAAACGTTTTTTGTACTCAGGGACTCCTGGCCAATATGTGATTTCATTGGCTCTAATATAGATCTGGAGTTACTTGATGTGGCTGAATTTTCTAATTTTTTAATGAGTAATGAGAAGGGCACACTGTGAAGCCAAAAAGGGGCCCAAAGGTAATTCTGAATGACCACCCAACGGAGAGAAATCTTCATAGTTCAGGTGGGTGCTGCTAGCAATCACTGTCCCATTGCAGGGGTAGCTTCTGAAAAGCCTTCCATTTCCCCAACTGCTTTCACATTTGGCAAGGGGGGTGGGTGAGGGGGGAGATGGTGAGCGCTTTTATTTTATTTTTTTAACTTTTTTGTTGAAAGTATTACAAATGTTCCCCCTTTTTTCCCCCTTGGATCCTCTCCACCCTGTTCTGGCCCCCTCCCCAGTCCTTCCTCCTCACTAATGTCTGTCCATGGGCTTTGTATATATGCGTATAAATTTTTTGTTTAATCTCTTCTCATCCGCCTCCCCTCCTTCTGAAATATGTCAGTCTGTTGCATGTTTCAGTGTCTCTGGATCTGTTTTGTTCATCAGTTATTTTCTTCATTAGATTCCACATATAAGTGAGGTCATGTGATATGCATTTATTGCATTAAATACCTCATTGGAAATAAACTTGAATCAATTTAATACATAAATTATTGAATTGAGAGGGTGCATTTTAGGGTGGTAGGTATGTGTGTACAGATCCTCTACTTGCTTTTAGAACTGAAATAATAACTTTAGCATCAGCCAAACTACTTTATGTAATCTTTCAAGTAACAGCATTGACATCCAAGAACAGAAAACACCTGGCAACACACTTTTTAGAAAAGATAACAATTGCTTGGGGTTTTTTTAGGAGTAAGTAGTATTTCCTTATATGAAATGATAGAGAGAATTGTATGTTTAGAAAGTAGTTTCTTTCACTTAATATGGGCAAAACCATACTGGATAATGTTAGTAGAAATTGAAAGCAATGCTGGACTAATTCTATTTTTTAGTTTGATATATTGTTTGATTGTGAATTTCTCATACAAACTTTTTCTCCCAGAGTTTACTTTTTTTCTTGCTTTCAGGGCCTTTACATTATTAAGGGTTTGTTTAATTATCTCAATTAAACAGTCTATATAAATTCTAGTCTAGAAATGTCTGCCTTGTCCCCCAGAATATCCTTCCACCTTCTTATACCAAGTTGCTTTGGTTGCTTTTCAGTCTTCACCTTTGTCACCCTGTGACTTCCTTTCACTGATTTTTCTGAGCTGTATTCACTGGCTTCTGAACCCCGTGCCTTGTCTTTACTGTTTTAAATTCTTTTATTGCTATGTAACAACCTCAGTAGCTCATTTAGAAAACATGAGACCTTGACTATCTAAGCATATCTTCAGAATCCCCATGTACTTGATCAATAGTTTAGTTGGGCATACAATTCCATTGCCTTTAGAATACAGAGTTGCAGATTCCATTTCTTATTTTTGTTACTTTGACTTTTTTTTTTCTTTCAGCATCATTGGGGTTTTTTGTCTTTATTATTAGAGATTCTATAATCAAGGTGATGTGCAAAGTTGGCAGAATTTTAAAATTTTATTATGCTTGGAATTCAGCTTGAAGAATTGTGCTTCTCTTCAGCTTTGGAATTTTTTT